TATATATATATATATATATATATATATATATATATATATATATATATATCTCCAATCTGTTGGGAAACAAGACTTCTGTAACCTATAATAAGACCATGGCAGTGTCAAATTGCCCCAAGTTTCTCACTGTGCATTCTCACACTGGTCAACCTGCCCCTCCAGTCTCCAGCCTGCGTTACAGCCCTGACCCTCGGCACACCACATGAGCAGGCTGCAGACTTAGACAGGGCAGAGAGCAAGCCAGGCAGGGCACAGGCACCCCAATTGAAAAGTGAGGTATTTATGCCTGGAAAATTCCTACCTCAGAAGTCTGCTTGTCCCTGCGATCATTAAGAGAATGATGAGCTATTAGAGATGTAAATCGCTGCCCATCTGCAGTTAGTTGGTTGGTTTATTAGTGTCTGCTTAAATTTTAATATTGATCTGAACTATTTTGTGATTAAATTAGACTTCTTACAACTTGAATCTTAGTTAGTTCACCGTCTGTAATAGGATACGTGTAAATGTTCTTCTGAAGGAACTGATGGTGGTGTGGTAAGTGCTGTCGAGTTGGTTTCAACTCCTAGTGACCCTGTATAGGGTTTCTGAGAAACAGAAACAGCTGGTGGGTTTGAACTGCCGACCTTGTGGTTTGAAGTCCAGTGCTGATCCTACAGCGCCACACCAGGAGTCCAGAGCTGAGACTAGGAGATATAGAACTGATGACAGGTGTCTTTAAAAGTCATCAGCATTTTAAAGAGATTCCATTTAGAAATGGTTTTTGTTTCTCATTCAGGTTCGAATCATCCCCTTACAGTTACAGCGGCTGTTCTCTCAACTTCTGCTCTTGGACCAGGAAGCCGCTTCCACCGCAGATCTCACAGACAGCTTTGGGTGGACCAGCAATGAGGTACAAAGGGCAGCTTCACTGAGGAACAGTGTGGGCAGTAAAGAGACTTGTAAACACTGGTGTAGTATGTGACTATCTCACTTCCTTACATTTCGCCTTAGGGCCTTCAGATGCTGTATGATTGTTGCCTGCTCTTATTAAAATTTCACAAGCCAAAAAATTAATTTTTAGATACTTGCTGTAGGTAGGACTTTATGAATGGTAGTGATTTTTGGTTTGGGATGAGGTTATAGATACAGACAGAGGAAATGTAAGAGCTGATTTTTGAAATTTCTACCCTGGGAATCTTCTCTTCGTCTAATCAAGATACAACACATAGTACAGAGAAATTACTTACCGTTTGCATAGCAGTGTGCTGATCAGCCTTTCAGGTTCCCACTAGCAATAACGGACAAGCCAGGTGACCCGTAATATATAAATTTCTGTCTGCCCTTGGGATGTGCATCTGGCTGTTCTGAATTGAGCATCTGCCTTAAGCCACGCAGGGAGACCATCTGAGCTCGTTCACCCTCCTCCTGCCCTTTCTGTGGACTCTCTTTTCTTTCTGTATCCTCCTCTGGTGGTGACTTTCTCTCATTTCTCTTGACATGTTCCTGAAGGCTATTCCATTTGGTGCAAATATTAAGTGTTTATAAGCAACAAGTGGAGGGTTGCTTGTTGTCCAAACTGATGAGCGATCCTGAATGTACAGGAATTTCCTTTTGGAATAGCTGCTGTGTTCTTTCAACGACAGGGATTGGGGATCATGACAGGATTGAAAGAGGGGTTGGTGGGAGTTGCTGTATTACCGTCCACGGGTAGCCATGTGCTGGGCCTTCTAGCCGGGAGTGCTCCTGTATTCTGTGATGCTGTGTGGTTAAAGGAACACCATGACACTGGTGATCCATTCCCTGAAATGTGTGTGGAAATGTCTTCTGTAGGGCAGGTGGTGCTGTGAGTGAGCCTGTGGAGGGTTGTTGACGACCAGCTGGTGGGTTTGCAGTGCTGACCTTGCAGTTAGCAAGGCAGTACTGACTAGTAGTGCTACACAAAGACTGCTGGCTAATTCCTTTTTTTAAAAAAATAATTCTTAGTGTAGCAAGGAGGGGAGTGGTTAACTTTTCAGTCTAGGAGCGGAGGACCCTAGGACCATCAATGGAGAAAAGCGGAGAGCGGGATCCTACCCAGAGAAGCAGTGAGGCCTGAGATGGAGGCAGAGAAGACAACGTCAAGAGATGGTGTGGCTGGGGACTTGGGATCAGGAGATGGAAAGGGGCTGAGGACTGTGGTTGGGGGGTGCAGGCTTAGAGGGTACACCCTTTGGTTGGGTGAGGATGCATGGACGGGATGCCAATGAAACGATAGATGATAGAATGAATGTAAAACTAATGTTCTCCCATGTAAACTTTCACACAATTCACAATAAAACATTTATTAAAAAAATAATTATAATAATTCCTCGACGTAGAAATCTTATACCATAAAACTCACTCTGGAAGTTTGTGGACAAATGGAAATGAAAAAGAATGGAATTTTCCAATGAAATTTTTGAAGCTCCCTTGTGTACAATTCATTGGATTTTGGTATATTCACAAAGTTGTACAACCACCATCATAACCAACTTGAGAACACTCTTCAAACCCACCTGCCCATATTCCTATTGGCAACCCCTCCCCATTCTCCTTTGTCACCAGCTCCCCACAGACACGCATTAGTTACGACCAACATAATGCTGTAAGATAAGTTTGGACTGCAAAATCAGTTTGAACTGAATGATCAGCAGTTCAAACCCACCAGTCGCTCCTCAGAAACTCTATATAGGGTTGCTATAGACTTGCCGACACTTAGAGAACACCGTGGTGTGTTTGAACCATTGCCCTTGCAGTTAACATCCAATGCTTATCCTGAAGCACCAGACCCAGCCCCATTTCATAGAAACAGAATTGTACAATACATGATCTTTTGTGACTGCCTCTTTCGTTTAGCATAGTGTTCTCAGGATTCATGGGGTTGCAGGTTTCAGTACTTCATTCCTGTTCAGTGTTCCCCAGATGGACTGCGCTTTAAAATCCATTCATTAGTGAATTTCCCTGTTTTTGACAATGAGCATCCATTCAGATGTAGGTTCCATATTTACTAAAGCCATGAAGAGATTTTTGTATTTTCATGTTAAATAAACTTTTTTCAGGAAACCCTTTAAGAGTAGTGCTGATGTATTGGGAGTGACTTTCACAGGCACTTTTGCCAAACTGGCCGAGCTAGTAATACTGGACACATGCAGTGTCTAGTGTCTCATGTGAAACGGGGGAAAGGATCGGGAGCCCCACTGCTTGCCCTGATTTTCTCTGTTCTCAACTTAGCGGACTCTTCGCCAAAATCTCTGCCAGCACCACGTTGTCTCAGTTCCCTTGACCATGCCTCCCTCTCCCCTGGGCCCCCTCCGCTGCTCTTCTCCACATGTCCATGCCGGGGTGCCCCTGGACTGCCACTCAACAGTTGTTCTTAAGGACTATTGCAGTCTGTTGATACACTGCTACGTAAGAAAGGAATGAACGTCCCATTAGGAATCTTGCGCAGTAGCACTGTGCTAATCTAGTTTGAGTTGGTCTTTACATCGGCACGTTGTAGTTCTGAAATTGTTGATATTCGTCTCTGATTCTAGTGGGATTTTGCCATTCATACGCTGCCAACTGTTAGAGGCTTGCTGTGTTCTCTCTCCTCCCCTCTCTGTGGGCTTATTTTCCTACCAGAATCACTGCACTTTCCCCTCACTGTGGCATGGCCATGGGCACATTCTCCCACCAGAATCAGTGCACTTTCTCGTTACCAGGCGAGTTGGTAACACTGGTCTAATTGGGCACTCATTCTGTAGTGTGACTACAAGTGCCCTCCACTGGGTTTGAATTGTTCTCTAGATATCTGATCAAGACTTGCCTTTGGTGTGCTTGGTAAATAATAATCATTTCTTAACTAATAGTATTTTTTAAAATCTGAAGCACGAAATCACACTGACAAGGCCGCCTGTCTTGTAGGAAATGAGGCAGCATGACGTGCAGGAACTGAACCGGATTCTCTTCAGTGCTTTGGAATCGTCTCTAGTGGGGACCTCGGGCCATGACCTCATTAATCGTCTGTATCATGGAACCATTGTCAACCAGATGGTTTGCAAGGAGTGCCAGAGCATCAGCGAAAAGCAGGTAACTGTGCAAGCTTGTCTCCCATGAGCTAGAGCGTGAGCACCTGTAATTAGAGCTGTCGTCAGTAATGCTAGGCAAGGGTTAAAGGGTGTATCGCTAGAAAGAATTCTGTCACTTTTTTCCTGCTGCTTTAGCTGCACTAAATTGCTTCTTAATAATCCAGAATTCTCCATGCAAATGGAATGAAGCTAATACCTTAACATAACATCTTTTCTGCACTGTTCATGTTTCGAAAATAAGATTTGTGGGATCTTTACGAATGAAGGACTATGACTTCATGAATGAAGCCGGTATCAGAATGGTGGTTGGAGTGATAGAAGAAACTTGTTCTTAAGTGGCATTGAGTCAATTCTGATTCATAGCTACCCTGTATAGGGTTTCCAAGGAGCTGCTAGTGGGTTTGAACTGTCGACCTTGTAGTTTGCAGTCCAGGGCTGATCCTACAGCACCACACCAGAAGTCCAATTAGGGGAGTAACGAAACAAAAGAATACTGAGGAATGTTTACATATTGTTGGTGTTATGTGTCGTGGAGTCGGTTCCGACTCATAGCGACCCTGCATAGGGTTTCCGAGGCTGGAAATCTTTACAGGAGCAGAAAGCCTCATCTTTCTCCTACGGAACAGGTGGTAGTTTCACTGATGATCTTGCAACTCGCAACCCAGTTTGTAACCACTATGCTATCAGAGTAAAAATAAATCCAATCAAACTAATGACAAGTGTAATTACTGGATTTAATTTTATTAACACACTTCAGAACTGTCATTTGTATATGCTTATGTGAGATACTAGAATTCCTAGTGCGGTGCTATAGGATAAGCACTAGTCTGCTAATCACAAGGTCAGTGGTTCAAACCCACCAACCTCTCCTCTGAACCCCTATAGAGGGTCGCTATGAGTGAGGAACAACTTGACAGCGCTCAGCACAACAACATGGGTATTTTTGTATCTTGTTTTTAACTTGTATAACTTCCATTCTTTAACAAATCACCCAGATTGCCTGTTTGATCTCACTGCAATTATATATTGGAAATTAGCTCATGCAAATGAATGAGGGTGACTCAAAAGTGATCCTCAGTCTGTCTGTAGAATTTATTGTAATCAACTTTTAGAAAATACAAATACATCATTTTTCAGCAAAACCTCCTTGCTTTTCAAAACACTTTGTCAACAAGCTTTTATATTCCCTTATTAAAAAATATTTTAGGCTGAGCTGTGAACCACAAATGCACTGTTGTCTTCACTTTTTCATCAGAGGTCAATCTTTGGAGAACTGCTTTCAGGGGACCAAACAGGTGAAAGTCCAATGGCACATGATCAGGATTATAGGGAGGATGCTTTAGCATCTCCAAATGGAGGTTTGCAGAGTGTCAACAGTGTGGGCAAAGGTGTGGATATGCATTGTCATGCAAGATCACAATGCCCTTAGATAGCAGTCCTCTGCGTCTAATGTTAAATTTAGGCTTCTGCGCTTCAGTGTCTCATTGTAACGAGCACTGTGGACTGTTGAACATTTTCCTGATGGTGTTCTAACAGTGGACCTTGAGTAGCCCAGAAAACTGGAAGCATCAGTTTTCCAGCTGATGGTTGACCTTTGAACTTTTTCTTGGTTGGTGATTGGGGATGTTTTCCTCTGCCATTTACTCTCAGGCTCATAGTGATAAATCCATGGCTCATCACCAGTAACGATTTTTTAAAAGAAACTTTTACCATCCTTCAAATATTGATCTAAATTTTGTTTACAGATATCTAAACACTTCTGTTTCTGCTCGTCTGTGAGTTGTTTGGTTCCCATCTCACACTAACTTTTCAAACCCAAGTCTGTTGTGGATGATTTCATAGGCAGAGCCTTGGCTTATTTGCAAATGACTTCCCTCATAATCCACTGTCACACATCTGTTTGACAGAACCATTTGTTGAGCACGCTCAGTGTGGTCATAAGCCATGGACAGGCATTTTAGTATAACCGGTGTGCGAATAATTTTTGACTCAGCATCATAAAACAGTCATTTCTGTTTGTCTGCACATCTTCTCTATCAGGTGGGCTCATCACTGAGCAGTCCTTCGAAAACTTCTTTTGTCAAGAATTACAGACAATTTCTGAATTTGATTCTAAAACATTCATTAAATACCATTTTCTGAATGTTTTCATCGCTTTTGTGGAATGTATATATGTTTATGTTGCTTTTGAGTGCCTTCGAGTCAGTTCTAACTTATAGCGACCCTGTATAGGGTTTCCCAGGAGCAGCTTGTGATTTTGAACCACCAACCTTACATTTCCAACCGACATTGTGGTCCAACGCGTTATCCTCCAGCACCACACCAAGACTTCATATACATCAGATAATACAACCTTGCTTGCTGAAAGTGAAGAGGACTTAAAACATTTACTGATGAAGATGAAAGAGCATAGCCTTCAGTGTGGATTACATCCCAATGTAAAGAAAACAAAAATCCTCACCACTGGACCAATAAACAACATTCTTATCAATGGAGAAAAGATTGAAGTTGTCAAGGACTTCATCCTTCTTGGATCAACTGTCAACACTCATGGAAGCAGCAGTCAAGAGATCAGACGACGTATTGCATTAGGCAAATCTGCTGCACAGGAACTTTTTAAAGTGTTGAAGAGCAAAGATGGCAGCTTAAGGACTAAGGTGCTCCTCACCCAAGCCATGGTATTTTCAGTAACCTCATATGCATGCGAAAGTTGGACAGTGAATAAGGAAGACTGTAGATGCTTTTGAATTATGGTGTTGAAGGAGAATATTGAAAATTCCATGGGCTGCCAAAAGAACCAATAGATCCGTTTTGGAAGTATAGCCAGAGTGTTCCTTGGAGGCCAAGATGGCCAAACTTCATCTCTCATACTTCGGACATATTGTCAAGAGGGACCAGTCGCTGGAGAAGGATACCATGTTTGCTAAGGTGCAGGGTCAGAGAAAAAGAGGAAGACCCCCAACAAGATGGATTGGCCAAGTGGCAGCATCGATGGGCTCAAGCGTGGCAAAAGCAGTGAGGCTGGCCCAGGATCGGGCAGTGGTTCGTTCTGCTGTGCATAAGGTCTCTATGAGTCAGTACTGACTCAATGGCACCTAACAACAACAACAATATATATATACATTGTATATATACATTGTTATATATATATTGTCGTTGTTAGGTGCCATTGAGTCGGTTTCGACTCATAGCGACTCTGTATAGGGTTTCCAAGGAGTGGCTGGTGATCCTGAACAGCTATCCTTGTGGTTTAAACCAACCTTGCAGTCCAGTGCATTAACCCACAGTGCCACACCCGGACTCCATACATATATGTATGGAGTTTTCTTTATTTTTAAAGAAAGAGTTGGGAACAAAAAATACTTCTTAGCTATTATTGTCTGAATAAATGGAAGCTCTGTCAGTCTAGTTTGGGAACTAGTTAAGCGGTCTGTGTGTCTTTGAATCGCTGTAGGATTAACTTAGATATGATGTAGTAATTTGAAAATATTTTGGGGGGGAACATTAAAAATTACAATCTTTAATTTTTTGCCTCCAAAATTGAATGAAAAGATAATGAAACTTTTCTACAAGCAGCTTGAAGCTCCCTCATGTTTCTAGAAGTTAATTGTATTGCTTAATATTTCCACCATGAACTAACTATTGTTCTGTTAATATATACGTATGGATACATTTGGAGTACCTGTAATTCCTTAAAAGAAAGCTATTGTACACATGAACAAAACTAAAAATATGATTTTAAATATGTGAAATTTTAAGTGATTATTGCTAGAAAATATTGTAATTCAAATGTAGTTAGAATAGAATTGATAGTTTTCCTTTTTACAAAATACTTTCCTCCTAATTTTAATAGAAATACAACTTAGCACTTTTTTTTTAATAACTTGCACATTATATGTTAAACCAACATAGTAAGATAAGAAAATGGCATTTAATTAGAGAATGTAACCCTGCCCTTCCCTCCCTAGCCTGCTCTTACTTTCCAGTATACAAACTAAAATGCACACCTACACTTCAGAATTCAAATATGTGTTCATTGATTGGTTTGATTTCCTGATTGTTGTGGTTAGGTGCCATCGAGTCAGTACCGACCCATAGCGACCTTATGCACAGCAGAACGAAATACTGCCCGATCCTGGGCCAACCTCACTACTGTTGCCATGTTTGAGCCCATTGATGCTGCCACTTGGCCAGTCCATCTCGTTGGGGGTCTTTCTCTTTTTCTCTGACCCTCCACCTTACCAAACATGATGTCCTTCTCCAGTGACTGGTTCTTCCTGACAATATGTCCGAAGTAGGAGAGACGAAGTTTGGCCATCTTGGCCTCCAAGGAACACTCTGGCTGCACTTATCCCAAAACGGATCTATTGGTTCTTTTGGCAGTCCGTGGTACTTTCAATATTCTCCTCCGACACCATAACTCAAAAGCATCAATTCTTACACGGTCTTCCTTATTAACTGTCCAGGTTTCGCACGTATATGAGGTTATTGAAAATACTATGGCTTGGGTGAGGCGCACCTTAGTCCTCAAGCTGATACCTTTGCTCTTCAACACTTGAAAAAGCTCTTGTGCAGCAGATTTGCCTAATGCAATACGTCGTTTCAGTTTTTGACTGCTGTTCCCGTAAGTGTTAATAGTTGATCCAAGAAGAATGAAGTCCTTGACAAC